AAGAAGAAGAAGAAGAAGAAGAAGAAGAAGAAGAAGAAGAAGAAGAAGAAGAAGAAGAAGAAGAAGACGACGACAAGAAGTCTACTATCAATTTATGAATTTATTGTGGTCATTGAGTGTTCACTGGTACTTTTTAGCAGAAGTATTACAGTTTAGAACAAAAAGATGAAAGAAAAATTTGATTGGGTTTGAGCTACTGGATATAATGGCTTTTTGTTAGAAAGCAAACTGATAATCCAGGCAAGAGCTGATGAAGTTCTGAACTCAGTTCTGGCAATGGAAATCAAAAGGAAGAGACAAGTGAGAGAGGTCTATAGGTTGAGTCTACAGGTTATAGCAAACGCTTTAATAAGATGATGAAGCAATATAAGTTGGTGAGATAAAGTTGTCATTAACTGAATAAGAAACTCAACAGAAAGGACCTATTGATGAAATGATGATTTCTCTTGGGGATATGTTAACTACATAAAGACATATCAGAGCTCCTGGGCATTGCTATCCACTTCTGGCCCAAGCAAAAATGACAGATGAGTTTTCTCTCTCTGACCACAAAACAACAGATATATCAGGCTTTGGGCCATGTATTTTGTCCTCACTGTGCTTTCTTAAAGGATCCATATGCTTTGTTCAAGTTCAAAGCCCGGGGTAGTTCTCATTCTCTTAACATCTCTTTCCCATCCTCATGTACCAATTTTGATTCTGTGATTGATTCATTCAAAGAACTTGAAAAAGCTAAAATGATCTGTTAATTTATTTTCACTCATCTCTTACACACATACACAAACACACACGTGAATTCGTGTGTGTATGCGTGTGTGTGTGTGTGTGTGTGTGTGTGTGTGTGTAAAAGATGGGGAATTCTAAGAGACACAAACCATCAACCCAAAAGAACAGATGAGGGCCACAGAATATAGATACTGCCTTTTGATTTGAGTTGTATGAAAGCTCTAATCCAGAGAGATTATGCCACAAGTGACAGGGAAATCTAATATTCCTTTGGAGTTCAGCAAAGAATCAAGTTTACTATTTCTCTCAGTGTGTTTCCATTTTTTTAGTTTGAAGGAGCCACAGCACATTGCAGTAATTCTCACTTCATCTATGTGTTTTCCCCATAAGCTGAGGGTCCATACTGATGCTGCCATCCCTCATGAACAAATATGAGTAATGTCTCTTTAATATCTTTAAATGGTAAGGAATGAAGGAGCTAATAATCTGCAATTTTCACTTTATTTGAAATTTATCCCAAAACACATTTACTTAACATGATATATTTCCCAGAATATATACAATTTAGTCTCTCAATGAAATATTTTACAAGTTACTAAAAGCTCATGATTTTTACAAATAAAAAATCTATAATAAATAAGATAATATAGCAATTCATATATTTAACTAATAAAGTAGAGCAAGAAAATATAAATATCATAGAAAGTGATTAAGTAGGAGAAATAAAACTATACTTCCTGATAGAAAATTTATATAGCAATACCAAAAAATTAAGTGAAGAATTTATTTTTGATATCCTCCTCTGTATCTTTTCAAATGACGGATGTGTGAAAATCAAAGAAAGTCAAAAAAGAAGTCAAACAAATGGATACTAAATTCAGTAAAGCAGACTATCTTTAAACATAACTATGCACGAATTTTGCTTAAAAATCCACTTCTGCTGTGAACAGTGCCCAGGCTTATTTTCTTTTTGTTAATAGGTTTTTTTGTTTTGTTTTGATTTACAACAGGCCCATAGCACAAACAGCTTTATCCAGGTAGTAGCATTTGATGAGTTGATCCCTAAGTAAGACCAATTTTATTTTTGAATTCCCAAAACCAATCTTCCTTTTCCTTTTCTGGTTTGTGATTCCCCAGCTATCTATGTTATCTATGTTATGTCAGTTGAATCGATTACAGACTACTTCCCTTAGTAAAGCACAATCCCCGTACTCTTAGGTTCAGTTTTAATCTTGTTCCTCTTACCCAAGTTTTTTTTTTTAATCAAAAACAATAAAGAATTAACTGGAAGTCAATTACTAGAAAATATGTTGATTTGCTCCACAAAATATCATGAAACAGGAAATAATTATGCAGTTTTTGCTAAAAGGCATTCCTCTATTTCAAGGAAGAACCGTTTTCTTGTGAATAAAAAAACAAAATTACTTTTGACTTATAGGTCAGAAAACCAAATTTATTGTATTTCAACAGAAAGAAAATATGAATAATTTTTTCCTTAATATATTCCAAAGTCCTTAAAAATAATCCTGCTTAATTCAAAATGTGTCCATATTAATTTGCTTCAGAGATGTGTTTCTAATATCTTCCTAATAACTAAGGTGATTAAATGTAGACTATTTTGCCAAAAATTATTTTTAAAAGCAAATTAGTATTTTTATCATAAATAAAATAAATATTTTCTTGTGACATTGTGATACTTTTTCTTGGTCTTTTCACTCAGTACACTTTCCCTCATTTTTTAAAATGAGGAAAATATTGCTGAAAAATATTTTCCAACATTATAATAAATTTGGTTGTTAATATAGAACATCTCTACAAAATGTGGTAGTATTTAAATTCCACCTAAGAAAAACAGATTTTTTTAAGAATTTATCATCTGGTCAAAAATAATGAAGTTCTGTTTAAATAATATTAAAGTCTAATATTATCTTTATTAAGAATAACAACAAATCATGTCCAAGCAGTCTTTCATTAGAGCTTGTGTTAGATGCAATTCCAGCTTTTCTCATAGAAGGTTTCTACCTCTGCAAAGACACTAAAATAATATTATTCATTTATGTGGACCCAGCAAAGCTTGACATGTCTTTCTTCCTATGCTTTTCAATCTTTTCATTAAGTTACAATAGTATTCCTAAACATAATTATATAATATAATTATGTGATAGTAATGATGTACACAATGTAAGTATAACTTTTAGGTGTGAATATACTAAGCTGGGTCATTTTGTGTGCCATTTTGCAATGCAAACTGACATTAAGAAACACTGATTTGGGGCCTAGCATAGTGGCACACGCCTGTAATCCCAGCCACTTGGGAGTCCGAGGCAGGAGGATCACAAGTTCAAAGCCATCAATTTAGCAAGGCACTAAGCAACTCAGCGAGACCCTGTCTATAAATAATATATAAAAAAGGGGTTGGGGATGTGGCTCAGTGGTTAAGCACCCTGGGTTCAATCCCTAGTACCAAAAAAAATAAAGAAAGAAACACTGAATTGAGGGGGAAAAAATCAATCTTAACATAGCACACTATGGAGCTTGAAGATGAAATGGGAAGTTGAAGCAGAGTACTTCAAATTTCGGATTTTAGAAATTGTGTCTGTGAGTTCAAAATGGAGCTCAAGAATCTGGGTCTTTAGCAAGAATCTTAGATTATTCCAATGAAAGTGGAGTCTAGAGATTTTATTTTTGAGCCCACAGCTTTAAAGCTCCTTGCTAGTTAAGT